TACCGTGGTTTTTGGGACGTTACAAGTACTGTAAGACTATACATATGGAGAGAAGGTAGTTAATTAGTTACTTTTGGCGGGAAAAAATGCTAGGAACAAACATGTTGGTTGGTTTTCGCGTAAAAAATGGCAAATAGATATATCAAATATATATTATGCAAGCTTGCACTTCGCACCTTTCGAACTCACAATTTAGCATAAAATGAGCTAAAATTGTGCCGAGTTAATACTAAGCACGCTAATGGCCTTATGGCACTAAAATCAATAACGAGCTTGTTCCAAAAAAAATGTAGTTGGATTCTATAGCTTTTATTTGTACAAAAGTGTTCGACACAAGTAGCTGGAAGCTTTTGAAATATGTAAACTTACATAAAATGGCATATGGATATAAAGTAAAATTAGAATATAATGATAATAAATTAACTTTTATAAACTATAATTATCAAAAGTTAAAAACCATCCAAATTTTAAAAAGCTAGCTTATATGCTACTTTTTGACATACCAAATATGATAACTTAAAAAGCTTGAAGAATAAGCTAGCTTATCAGCTAGTTGTGGCGTGCCAAACAACTTTTTAAAAAGTTGCTTATAAGCTACTTTTTGGCATACCAAACATGACAACTTAAAAAACTCAAAAAATAAGCTAGCTTATCAGCTAGCTGTGGCGCGCTAAACATAGCCTACGTAGCTTTTTAAAAAGCTAGCTTATAAGCTACTTTTTGGCTTGCTAAGACTGTGTTTCGCGCACACGGCTAGCTCATAAGCTAACTTCTTTTTTGAGCTTTTTAAAATTGTCGTGTTTGGCAAGACAAAATGTAGCTGATAAGGTAGCGTTTTAAAAATCTACTTAGGTTATGTTTGACGCGCCACAGTTAGACAGATAGCTTATTATTCAAGTTTTTTTAAGTTGTCATGTTTGGCAAGCCAAAAAGTAGCTTAAAAACTACTTTTTAAAAAAGCTACATGGACTAGCTTTTCACGAGATTTTTAATTTTTTTTTCAAAATATACCCTTAATAGATTATAAACATCATATTTTTGTAAATGATTTTTTATATCATTTTATATCTTTCAGCTAGCTTATCAACTAGTTTTTACTAAACATCATTTTTTTTATCAACTAGCTTATAAGTTAGCAGCTAGCTTTTCAGCTACCAGCTAGATTTTCAACTAGTATGCCAAACATAACCTTAAAATAGCTTTTCAGGAGCTTTTTAAATTTTTTTTGAATTTATCTTTAATTAATTATAAAAAACATATTCTTTTAATGTCCTTTTATGTCATTTATATATTCCAGCTACCTTATCATCTACTTTTTACCAAACATTATTTTTTATCAGCTATCTTTTTAGTTAGTCTGTCAAACATATCAAACATAGCCTAAACATGACAACTTAAAAACGCTTAAAAATAAAGCTAGTTGTGGCGCACCAAAAACAACTTAAGTAGCTTTTGAAAAAAGCTAGCTTATACAATACTTTTTGGCTTGCCAAACATAACAACTTAAAAAAACTCAAAAATAAGCTAGTTGTCGCGCGCAAAACACAACCTAAGTAGGTTTTTAAAAAAGCTACATTATAAGCTAGCTTATAAGCTATTTTTTGGCTTGCTAAACATGACAATTTAAAAAAAGTTCCAAGATAAGCTAGTTGTGGTGCACCAAACACAACCTAAGTAGCTTTTTTAAAAGCTAGCTTATAAGCTACTTTTTAAAATGTCGAACATGACAACTTACAAAAATTCAGAAAATAAGCTAGTTTATCAGCTAGTTGTGGCGTACCAACATAATCTTATAAGTTAGCAGCTAGGTTTTCAGCTAGCAACTAGTACGTCAAACATAACCTTATTTTGGTTCATAAGTTCATATAATGAATATTTATTGTTTTGTTAGATGAGATTAAGGCTATGTTTGGCGTACCAGCTGAAAAGCTAGCTGTTAGCTGAAACGCTAGCTGCTAGCTGAAACGCTAGCTGCTAGCTGAAAAACTAGCTGCTAAATAAAATGCTAGCTGACAGCTAAAAAAGCTAGCTAATAAATAATAACGTTTGGTAAAACTAACTGAAAAGCTAGCTGAAAGATATAAAATGACATAAAAGGGTATTTAAAAGACGTGTTTCTATAATTAATTAAGGGGTATATTTGGAAAATTGTAAAAAAGCTCCTAAAAAGCCACTCTAAGTAGCTTTTTAAAAAGCTAGCTTATAAACTACTTTTTAGTTTGCCAAACATGACAACTTAAAAAAGCTCGAAAAATAAGCTAGCTTATCAGCTAGCTGTGGCGCGCCAAACACAGCCTAAAAAAAATTAAAATCCATTGATGTTGTTTCAGATAAAAACATCATAATTGTTAAATTATATTTATATTTAAATGTATAAGATATATTTTGTTTCAAATAAAGATATCATAATTGTTAAAATATATTTATATTTAATCATATAACATAATTACAAAAATTGTGGATATAATTTATTTATTTTAAAGGGTATTTAAGTCAATTTGCTAAAATCTAAAAGAGCTTTTTGTTAAACGCTAGTTGAAGTAGCTTTTAGATTTGAAGTTTTTTGTTTAACCGAAAAACTAAAAACTCCTGCTGTCGAATGAAGTTTTTTTCTTAAATGCTAGAAGCTCGAACCTCCCAAAAGTTGTGTGTCGAACACGCCCGATACCTTTAAGAACCATGTTACACAGTTACTCTTTTATCTTTCGACATAGCCACAAATGAAACAAAAGACAATGACGTACATGCTACAAATCAAATAAACATTTCCTCTTCTCTCGAAATACACAAACAAGAAGAAAAAACCGAAGAAAAACTTGAGTAACATTAGAGGTGTTATAGGCGGAGAACAAATGAACATTATAGGCGAAGAACAAATGGTTGCATGATCTAAAAAAAGGACAAGACATGCATTTAATTTTGTGACGTTATGCATGTTTCAAAGAGTCTATGGGAATCAACTCACTTTAACCGACAACTAGTAAAGTAAAGCTGACACAGAACACGACAACAATCCTCTTTTACTCTAAGAGTCTATGGGAATCAACTCACTTTAACCGACAACTAGTAAAGCTGACACAGAACACGACAACAATCCTCTTTTACTCTAGACTAGGGGAACATGATAACGAACCAACAGTTAGTGGGCCCCATTCGGAGCCACAAGGGGGAGACCTTATCAGAATCGTGATTGTAAGAAAGTTGATACTGACATTTAATGCGTCAAACAGAATCGTAGCTCCACATTCGAATGAACACGAACAAAAGCATGACTGCCTATCCGTACACCCAAAGCATTCGACGTCCACATAACCTCCATACAATAGGGAGCCGCAAGACGTTAGTTACGACCGACACATTAGTGCCTCGGGAAACATATAAAAGGCAATCATCGAACAACATGTGTCAAACAACCATCAAATATCTAAAATGGAGATGTTGTAATATGCAATGTTTGTTTTTGTCTTAATTCCCAAAATAAACACTTTTTATGCAATGAATTTACTATCTTTTATTAATTTATACAAACAAAGTAAATTTCTTATTAAGTAATTCAGTTATGTTCTAATTTCTACAAATTTCTACATTATGTTCTAATTTCTACAAATTTCTACATTATGTTCTAATTTCTACAAATTTCTACATTATTTTACTAAATTGATTTCATAAATTAGTAAAAGCTAAAACATAATTACATACCATAAAATATATAATTTCATCATTTCTATAGCCTGTCCCTACCACTCCAATTGTTTCTCTTTTAAGATTTAACTTCTCATACACTATCTCCTGTGTCAAACTTGTTATACTACATTTATGAATGTTTAATATAACATGCATAAACACCCAAAAAAAGTAAGAATCCCAGAAGTGTATATGAAATAGGATATTGTATAAAGTTCTATGAAGCAAATAAGACATTTATAAAGATTCATGTAAATGTAGTCAAAGTCTGTAATCAAAATCTAACTTGACAAGTAATTATACTAAACATATGGACCCTTTCCTTATTGTGTATGTAAGTGAAACAGGAGTTCTGAATAGTAAAACATCAGCTCATATTTATTCTATCTAAAAAGGGAAATGTACTTTACTCATTTCTTGATTCTCCGGATTCTTTTAGCCCCCCGTACCTCCAATCTCCCCGCCGGACAACCACATGGTGCTCGGAAAATGAGAACAGTCCGGCCATTTACCGGCGCCATCTTCTTCAACTCCGCTTCCAGCTCCTTATGATCTTGCCCTAATTCCAATGGCTTCACATCGTTATCTGATGATGTTCCCCCTGTCGACAGATACTTAACACACTCTTCTGATTCAAGCTGGATATCAAATTCAACAGCTTTACGAAGCCCTTTACAATTAGGTTTTCCACATTTTCTTGATTTTACTTCGAGTATTTCCCAAGCGGCGATTGTCGCTATTACTCCACTGAACGCTGCTACTACTCCGACGACATACGCGATTGGCGCATCGGAAATTACTTCTTGGATGACGTCGAAAACTAAAGGGAGAATCTCGATGGTTTCACGATATATAATATTGATGTATGGAATGATTAGAAACCCAAGTGCTCCGAGCACCAGAATCAGCATAAGGATATCCAGGGCGGCGAATGGGGATCTGTCGCAAAACGGATGTGATAAAGGGTTAACGGAATCGGAACCGATGTTGTACTTCTTATTGTTCCGAGAGTGATTGTTGTTATTGGTTGTCGGCGTCATGTTCTTGTGTTGTTCGAAAGCTCGGCAAAATTCAATCAAGCTACGACAATCAACCATCGGCAATCTCATATTCTTCCTTCCACGATCTCGTCGCGAATCCCTGCTTGATGAAACCTTATCGTTCTGATCTATCTCGATCTATAAATCTCAAATCCTTACCACCGACTGATAAACAGGTTCCAATCCGAAACTAGATTATTGATTCACCTGGATTGGGCAAATTGATATAGAAATCAACAATAATATGATCTCAAAATTCTCGGAAATCGTCAGGAATTAAGAACGAAGCAAATCAATTTCGATGCGATCAGAAGAGGGATTCAGAGAAGCGCCTGCAATCATAAACAATCCACGCCAATCAGATCAGATTTCAATGAAACTAAATCTGATCAACCAATGAAATTGATCGATGATCAAATGATTGATGAAATTGGGAAAAACAGGAAGAGATCGACCTAAAAATTCGTGCGAGATGGGCCGATTGAAATGGAAGAAGTCAGCGGAGTTGCAGGTAAAAAACTTGAGGATGCGTGAATTACGAGGATAGATCGGGAAGAAAAGCTGCAGAAACGGATATTTCTCCCGCCCCTGTAGTATACCAAAATGGCTAAACTTGCCCTTTTACTATCAATCTACTATATTGATAATTATCATATTTAATACATAATTGTTCTTGCAAAAAAAAGTTCATAACATTTACTATGAGGTTTTTTATATTTTTTATTGTTATATTAACAATTTAATGTCATTAAAGTAGATAACTCATCGTCATTATTAATATTCATTGATCACTGGATATATTATTAGAGTAACACACAATACCCTTGGGACGTTGTCACGGAAAGTCAACGAGTATAGAGAAATATGGTGGTAGAGTGAAGAGGTGCAAGCTAATGTTGGGGCCAAACATGTTCTCTTTAAGGAGTTTTTAGAGTGCAATGAGGATGAGGAAAGAAGCAACACGAAATAAGGTACACGGTGGCAAATCGTGAGGCAAAGAAAGATGTTACTATAGTTAAGGCCATGACATATGAGGAGATTTAGAATAGATTGTTTACAAAGGAAGAGGATAGAAACAAGGAAAATGTACTTAGGAATCATTATGTATATTAAAGACGATAATGGTCAACATCTGGTGTAGAATAAGGATACGAAGTGGAAATGGGTAATTATTTTCATTCTTTATTTAATAAAAGTTCTTTCATTGATATGGATAAGAATGTAGAAGATGTGTTTTGAGGTTATAATAAGGAGTCTCTAAACTAATGAACATGGCCTAGCCTAAGGATTAGCATGAATGATGTAAAATAAGGCTTTATGGAAGATATGAAGGAATAAAGCACTTGGTCTAGATTAAATTACTATTAGTGTATGAATATGTTTTGAATTTTAAGGATATAATAGTTAAGTGGATGACTAACCTATTTAACAATATCTTAGAGGTCGTCAAAATGCCTGACACGTGGAGATTTAGTACAGTCATTCCAAATTATAAAAAACAAATGTGAAGCCTAAAGTTGCGAGAACAATAACGGTATTAAGTTACTTTTGGGAGTGAGTGTTGGAGACTAGGTTTCAGCGTATCACGAGTGTTTTAGAAACCAATTTGGTTTCATTCGAGGGAGGTTGACAAACAAGGTGATCCATCTCTTAAGACACTTGTGGAGAAATATATAACGAGAAATAAGGATCTCCATATTATGTTTATCGACTTGGAGAAGGAATACGATAACGTACCCATGAGGTGATTTGGAGAACCTTGGAAGCTAGAGGTGTCCTTTAGAGTTATATTGTGGATATTCAAGATATGTATTGTCGGTTTATGACATATGGTCGAACACTGTTCATGACTTTAAATTATTTTCGATTAAAATTGTATGCCTCATGGTTTTCCCCTCAATTCATGTACATTCACCCTTGAAATTTAACGAGGTGTCTTATGAGATTTAGGAGGTAGTACCTTGATATATGTCTTTGTCTAATGACATTGTGGTATGGCAGAGTCTACGACATAGCTAAATGCACCTTTAGATACCAGGAGACCGACGTTTGAAGTTAAGGGGCTTAGAATCAACTTTATTAAAACATATAACCTTTGGTGTATTATTAGGGGGGTAATGATGAAGCAATACATGTAACTACAATGGATCAAGCTTTTCTCCATATGGAGAGATTCAAGTATTTAACGTTGATGGTCTATAAAGAAGAACGCATGGAAGTAGATGTCACCCATCGTATTAAGGAAGGTTGGTTAAAATAGAGGGCAATCTCGAGAGTCTTAGCCGAGAAAGAAGGATCGTGACAGAAGTAGTAGAAATAAAAATGTTGAGATTGAAGTGTGGTCGAACTTTAATAGATAGGATTGAATGAGGCTGTTAGAAATGTGTTGGCAAATGTGTGTACAAACCTAAAAGTAAGGGGATTTTTGGTTAAGATGGTATGGACATGTCCACAAGATTTGGATCTTTCTTAGGAGATGACCTAATATAGGAAGGTATTGAGGTTTAGCATCAGGGTTGTTGAGTATCATAGGTACCTTATAGGACTTATATGTATGTATTGTTTGTAGCTTTCTTTTGTTACATGCTTTCATATCTGTATATACGTTTTCTAGATTTTTATTGTAGATACCTTAGTTTAGCTAAGATACTTGTATTAAGATGTATTCATTATATTTCACTAATTACATTGACTTACTTCCCCATGTTTTCTTCTTTTTCATGTCCTCAAATTAAATCACTTGTATTGTGATTTACTTATTTTTATGGATTCTATCTACATAAACTTAACGTCTCCCTATTTGACTTATTTACATGTTCATGTTTTGCACTTGTCATAGGTCTTACATGTGAAGCAGTTGATCTACCTCTAGTGGAGACATAACTTATGATATCTACATTCCCTACCATATTTCAATGGGATTCCTGGGATTTCGTTACGTTGTTGTATATTAATAACATTTTCATTTTATCCTTCTTAATTATACTTTATATCTATATATTTATTTATCGACAAACTTATCTAATATACTAAACATACAAAAAATCAATACTTGTATAGAATAACTATATACTTGATAAAAAAAACAAAACAAACATAAAAGATTATGTGTGCTCAAAAACGAAAAATTGTAGAGTACTTTATAAAACATTGCAAATAGGTCGGAATAAATGTTTAAATATCAGAGAAAAAAAAAACTTGTATATTGGAGAAGAATTTGAAGATAGTTTTTTTTATTGATTTGACAAAACAAATAAGCATTAAAGAGGTTAACCATTGTAGATGACCTAAAAAAATTATAATATGCAAATAACATTTGGTTTTAAATAAATCATGCATGTTTAAAAGCATCTTCGTGCAACCATTATATCCAATTTTCATCTATTTTTTAATTCATACATCTTCATTCAACTTCATTTTGGGATAAATGAATATTATTATTCTAAATATGAAGTAGTACTATTCATTTGTACTAAAATAAAATTAAACTTGGATTGTCAAGTTTAGTCCCTCTCATTTTAGATTTATATATTTATAGTCTAATTTAATTTAGCAATTTTAAACAATATGTAATAACTAATATTTGTAATTATCTTCTTATATATTAAATGATATTAATTTATAAAATGAAGTTTAAGCATTATGTATGGAAGCTAAAAAAAACAAAGATACTTTTTTAGACAAATTAATACACGGTAAGATGGTAAGATGATTCTTATAAATATATGATAATCTAATCTATAAAGTTATTATATTAAAAATAAACAGTACATATTTCTTAAAAACTAATAATTAAGTGTTATTGACGATTTATATAAATTACAGAAAAGAATATAATAGATATATCATATTTCTTTGATGTAAAAAATGGTGTAGAAATATAGTTGAAGATGAAACAATATTAACTTTATTTTTTATTTTATTTTATTGTTAAAAAATAAATATGGATCGAAGATGGTCTGAATATAATTTTTTTTAACTATTTACATCTAAGCTTGTTAAATTTCTTTCAAAATTATGTTTATAACTAGGATGATATTTCATTAGTTTTGTAAATTTTGTATTAGGTAACCACCATTTTTGTAATTTTTTAAACACATAAATTGTTTCTGTTAAAAAACATATGCATAGCGACCTTTTCTGTAAAGTATAGGGATGGTTTTTGTAATTTATTTTCTACACAGACACTAAAGTCGTCAACATACAAAAGTCTTAAATATATGTACAGTTTTTGCAAAATAAAATTCTACATACGGACATTTTCTGTAATTTATAGCGACAGTTTCTATAACTTATTGTGTATACAAGGACCAAATCTGCAAAGATAAAAGTTTTATGACCAAAATAAACATTCCAAACAAAGAAGGATAAAAGGTGTCAATATTCTAAACTTGTTGTGGTCAATGTGTGAAATAAAAAACTTTTATTTGTGGTCAAAGTGTAAAATAAAAGAAATTTGTAACCAAAATATAAACCACAAAAATATATTATTCTTTGTTATAATATATAGTATAATTAGCTTTGTATTACATTATCCCCAAACAAAAATACATATCAAGTTCAATTCTTTCTATAGAGAGTATGAAGTTTTGTTTGATATATTATCTCAAAATCAAATGTAGTATCGAGTTAACTATATAAAAATTCTATAATACAATCTTAGCCAGTGTTTTAAAAATCGGTTCGAACCAATCAGTCGAACTAGTCAGATTGGGAACCAAGAACGAGAGCGGTTCAACAAAAATTGATTTTATATCAATTTCTTGACCATATTGAACTAGACGGTTTCCTCGAAAATAGTTGAACGAGTGTGATATAGAACCGATAAAAAGTTGTTTGAACCGGTTTATTGGACTTTGATAGTCATATTTCGCTTAGCCCATTAAATAAACAACCAGTTTCCAAAACAAACTGAATAGCAAGATCTATCAGGATATCCAAAGTGTACATGACTCGAATGACGACGCACACCAATGGCAAATGTAGGAAGATTTTTTGATTTATATATATATAGGTATGTAGGAATATAGAAAATACATAAAAATTATGAAAATTGGATCGAACCGGAAACCGGTCATCATAACGGTTCAACTAAAAATATTGTTTTTAAATCATTGGTCTTATCCTTGTTCCATAAACAAGACCCCGTATAAAATGTATGGTTATGCTTGAATCTAATACATTTATGGTAACAAAGAATATAATGGTGGATCAGGTGTTAAATAAGTTAGGAAAATTTTAAAATGCTTAAAAGAAATTGAAAAACTAGGCGTACAACGAGTGATAGTGGATGGGTGAGGCTTTCAAATCTAACGAATGTTACGACTTTATTATTATTATTATTACTAGATGAATTCTTCATGCGTTGAGCAAATTAATATTATACAGTTATTTATATTAACTACAACGTTATGTTATAAGTTTTTGAACAATATGATAAGATAAACATATATGGTAATTAAATTTTGCAATACAATTCTTGATTTAGTGATGCTTTAACTATTGTTATGATTAACTAATTTAAAAATTATTTATTTGATTGAACATTATTTTTGTAACGCTTGATTTTCCGGTATGATTTTATTCCAAGTATTATGTTTTCTATTGGGACATGGCGTGTTGGAGCCTCAACACAGTGTCAAGATGTCCTTGGCCGCAGAGTTTAATGAACCAACACGGCGTGTTGGCAGCTGGGATGGAAACCCTAATTTTTAGGGTGTTGCACCCTATTTAAAGGTCTTAAGTCTCCTTGATCGGCCTTTTTACCAGCCTCCATTGTTATCTAAAACCCTAAATCGAGTTTTGAGCTTTCCTTGGTGGTGATCTTGAAGTTTTGAGTGGATTTTGTGGATTTTGTGTACTCATTTGAAGGAGCTTTAGAGTTTGAAGGTGCCTAGCGTGGAGGGAATGACATAGATCCAAAATCTCACCACTTGTTGTAGTCTCTTGGAGGTATCAAATTCATACCTTGCTTTGTTGTTGTTTAGATCTCCTCTTATGGTGTTTTTTTTATGATTTTTTGGGCTCATGGATGGATTGACTTAGGAGTTAAGTGTTTCATGGGTTGTCCTGTTAGATCCGACCATTTTGTGGCCTCCTTTGGCTTAAAGTTGCAAGCTTTATAAGGTCCTTGGTCTCATTCATGCATTAACTCCTTTATTAAGCCCTTCTTGAGCTTTAGGGTTTCTTTTTGGCATCCATGAACGTAAAGTTGACAACTTTATGTGGTTTTCCATCTATTGGGTGCCAAATATGCATTTGGAGGTATGCCTTTGAAGATTAAGAGCTTAATGGGTTAAGCCCTCACTCTAATGAGCCTAGGGTTTGGGGTTTGACCCATTTTAGTGGTTCCTAGGGGTAAAGTTGGAAACTTTACCCTTCTAGATATCATTTTTGGTTGAGCTCCGAGCTTTGGAGCTCTTAGATTCGATAAAGACAGCTTAATGTATTAAGTTGATGGATTTCTGGCGAACACGGCGTGTTTTTTGGTAAACATGGCGTGTTGGCTTGGTTTTTCCCGACTTTGCAGTTGATGGAGAAACACGACGTGTTGAAGGACGACACGACGTGTTGGGTCAACTCGGGCCGTTGACCTTGACCTTTGACTTTTGTCTTTGACCAAGTTTGACCTATAAGGGGTATTGGGGGCATTTTGAGTTGTAGTTAAGGAATTGTTTCTATTTATGGGTTAAGTAGAGCTAATATTCGAAGTTGGGACCTATTCAACTATCGTTCAGCATTCGAGGTGAGTTTTCCTCACCGGGTTTAGCGGGTCTAAGGCACCAAGACTGACCCTTGTTGATTATGTGATATACTTATTGTCTGTCTGATACTTGTATGTGTTTTTATATGTAGGCTTGTTGGGCGGGGTCCGTATCTCTTTGGGCGGGATCCGTGTTGTGAGTGTGGGCGGGGCCCGTTATGCGAGTGTGGAGGGGGCCCGTATCTCTTTGGGCGGGGCATGTGATATGTCTGGTATGCGGTATCTTGGGAACTCACTAAGCTTTGTGGTTACAGATTTTAGTTTGTGTTTCAGGTACTTCCGGTTCCAATGGGGAAAAGCTCGGGTTGACTGCATCACACACACCATTGGGATTCTGCATTTGATATTTACTCTGAGTTTGATAACGTTTGATACATTGGTTTTGTTGAGATGTATGGCTAATATATGAAAATACTATTTTATCTATTATGAAAATAAAATTTTTGGGACCATATTTTTGGATGTTACAATTTTTAACTATTGTTATGATTAACTAATTAAAAAACTTATTTTAAAACATTTATAATAAATGGCTCATGAACGTTTTTGACAAATATTAAGTAAATAAAAAATCATTTTCCTAACTTAGATCATATTTAATGGTAGTTTTTTTTTATAAATTATTATTATTATATCAAACACTCAATAACATTGATAACTTAATCTAATATATTATATACACAAAATAAAATTCAATATTATATAGAAACAATGTATAAAAAGCATTTTTAATTCAATAAAAATGACGTATCAAATAATTTTAAAATCATAAATCAAAAAAGTATTTTATAAAACATATCAAATATGTAATACAATCAATAAAATTAATCATATTTATGTGCAAGAAATTATATTGCACAATCATCGAAATATGGATTTTTCAAAAAACCGTTTTATAATTAAAAATTTGGAAATCAACGTTATGATGTGGAAATATTTCAAAGTACAACTCTTAAAAATATAGTAATGAAAAGAATTAATCCATCAAAATAATAGTCACGACAATGACAAAGAAAAAAAAACAACAACAATAACATTCATAGAAACTCCTTACCTTTTTTATTCAATAATTAAAATATATATCTTTAACTATATTGATATAATGAATATTTATTAATTGCATTTAAGTTTTATTTTAATGTTTTA